GGCCGCGCCTGCCAGCCCTCACGCGGCAGGACTGCCCTCCCCTCCTGCTGCTGGTCTGCTCTCCCTGCCGGCCGACTGTGCCCTCACTTTAAAGAGCAGGAAGACATCACCCTGGGGGACCTGCAGCCTCAAACCACAGAACCCGCGTCTCCATTTTGGCCCGGCGGGCTGCCCCCCAAGCTGCGCGGCGGGGCGGGCAGACGGCCCTGCGTTGGCTGTTGCTCTGTGACTTGCGGCTGGGGTCTGTGCCCTGGGAGCCTCCTTCTCCTCTGCACTTGGGGTCTCGCCGTCGTCCGTAAATCTCAAAGCTGCGAGGGTCAGACGAGGCCATGCTGCCGGCCTCCGCATGCTCTAGGCTCTGGGTGAGCAGGTGCCCCCGCCACGTTCAGCCATCCGGTGTCCCCGCAAGCGATGCCAGGGACCTGCTGTCGGGCCATGAATCGTCACCAGAAAGCAGAGACACAGAAAGACACCAGCCACCTGGGGTCTTACGTACAGCGTGGTGTGTCTGAGGTGACGAGTGACCCGCAGAAGCAAAGGCCCGCGGAGGGGCAGACGGGCTGAGTCTGCGCCCCGCCGACCTGCTGTTCCGGTTCCCCTGTCACCCAGCTAGTGATGCACCGGCCTCCTGTGTTCCAGCGGGTTCCAGGCCAGGCTGGCTGTGATGAATGCGTACCCCTCCCCGGGAGCGGGAGGGGAGCTGAGGGCTTCTGACCAAAGTGTCACATAGATGCCGACTTCACGGGTGGTAAGTGGGGGTGGGGGTGGTTACTGTCTTTCTTAGTAACGTAAGGGAACAAGAGAGAACGCACTTTGCGGGCTGATGTTCTCGAGGGCACAGCAAAGCCACCTGGGCCTCACGGGGAGCACCAGCACCCACCGTGGGGGCTGTGCTCCCGGGGTCACGGGCCCAGCCCGGTCCTGCGGGGCCAGTGCGGGAGCCAGCCAGGTGCCAGCCAACGGCGCAGTCCCGCCGTACTCCTGGCCTGTGGGAGGCAGCAGCAGGTGCCCTGCCTGCCTCACAGTAAGCGGCAGCAGTTCCATCTGGGCTCACAGGACAGGAAGGCCAAAGAGTCCCTGATGTGTTGCTGTAGACACCAGCCTGGGCATTACAGGCCCTTGTAAAACCTTGACCCACGTGAGTGTGAGTGTCCCTAACAGTGTGGTCAGCGTTCAGGAAAGCTCTGTGACGTCTGAGGGGTTTTCCCGGAAGAGCTCTAAAAGTAGGAGCCGTTGCAACATCCAAGCTTCACATTGAGAAGAGAAGCCGATGACTAAGATTTTACTAAGTGCCTGCTGTGTGCCGAGGGCCGCGGACGGACACGGGGGCATCCAGCGAGCCGAGCTGGCCTCTGTCCTCAGAGGTTCTAGACGGGGCGTGGGTGGGTGATGACAGCTGCACCCTGAGTAATTGGTGGTTTGGGCAAATAGCCTGTGCTGAGCGCGTCCCCTGGGCCTGGGGGCTTCCTTGGTTGTCAGGTACCGAACTGTAAATATTCAGGTTCAAAGGCTCTTCCCCGAGTACCCCTCTGCAGCGATAACCAGAACGTGGCACATCCCCGTCCACGTGCCCTCCAGCCGGGCTGGCCACCGGGCCCCGTCTGTGCCGTGTCAGCAGCAGGTCCACAGGCCAGGACCTCAGTGACGCAGGACATCTAGTGTTCAGCCATTAGGCAGCGCCACCTCTCAAGGCAGCCTCGGGGCGAGGCTCCAGCCCTGGGAGCCCTGGCACTTCCCCTTGGACCAGAACCTCGTGGCTGCCATCCTTGGGTCCGAGTGAGGGCTCCAAAGAGGAAGCTCTTTCTTTGTTGGGCTCTAGTGCCAGGAGTTAGGAAGAAGCCACCACATTCGATCACCATTTCCACCCCAGAGCCTGACCCGGATTCTCGCCTGTCCGGTCGTGTGGGAGAAGCCCCAGGCCCAGGAGGAAGGTGGGGCCCACACCCGCTGAGACAGAGCATCCGGCCGCATGGGTCCACTTCCTGCATGCACACCCCTCCTTCGTCCTCCGTCTTCACTTTGAGAAGGAGGTCGCATTGTCACACTGCACACTGCGTCCCTTCCGAGCGGGCTCTCGGGGGTGGCAGTGCGTCAACTCCTGTTGGTCTCACCAGACCCACCAGGGAGAAGGGCCTCCTCATCCCGAAAACCTGCTTCCTTCCGTCTGGCTATTCACTCCTGACCGCGCGGAAACAGCCTGTAACAGAGCGTAGGGTGTTGACCATGGTGGGCATCCACACGGCCCATCTCCGCCACTGAAGAAGACTTCCCGAGCGGGCGGGCGCCTGACACACCACAGTGTGGACGGCGCCGTCCCCCACACCCCTGCTCTGACAGGGGCGTCATTCAGCCACCCTCGGGTCTCGGATGGAAACCCCGGAGCCGTCCTCTCTCCACAGTTGCTCCTTTTGCCGTAGTCTCGCCCTCGTTTCTGGGTCTGACCGGCACCTGCCATCTCTGCTCGCCCCCACCCCGACCGGACCCGGTCTTCCTTCCTCCAGCTCTTCTCCTTGGAACCAGCTCGCTTGGCCCTGCTTCTCCTCAAGTCCTCCCCGCAGAGATGGGAGTGGTGGCCGGGCTTCCGTGCCACATCCACCCGGGCATCTGCCTGGACCCCGGGGCAGCCCCACGGCCCGCGCCTCCCACCGCCTCCCGCCTCCTCCGCCCCGTGCACATCTGGTGCCCCTCTGAAGTGTCTCTCTGCTCCCCGCACTGGGGCAGGTCCAGCCAGGCTGGAAGACATCCCAGAGGCAGGTTGGCGGGAAATTTAAAGTGTCCGGGTGAGTGACTTTTCAATTCCTGACAGCCTGGAGATTCTAGCTACCGACGAATTACTTCCCAAGGCAAAGGCAAGTAGCGTGTATGAGATGTTGGCTGGCACTGTGCTGGGTCTGGCGATACCTCAGAAGTTCAAAGAATTTAATATGGTTTCTAAGTTTTTTGCATTTTTTAAAAGAATTATGCAATATTCCTCTCTTATGCTTTTTAAATTAAGAACAGTCATATGATGCTGTTTTTGGTGTGCCATGTGAAGCAAAAAAATGTTTTTGATTCTGAGTTGCAATAACGAGATAGAGACACGGAGACGCTCAGATGGAACCGGAGAGCAGGTAAATCCGAAGACGCCGGTTCGTAGAGTCGGAGGGAAATCTGGTGATGCTGATTCTCATGGTTTGGCTTTTTAGGGCATTGCTGCTGACAAGACCACAGCCCAGCCAACGGGGCCGGGTCGGGGGAGGGTTGGCTCCGGACTGGCTCCTCCTGGGGGCCAGGTCGCCCGGGTGGCACTGCAGGCGAAGAAAAGGACAGTCCCCAGGCTGAGCACATCACAGGCCACTGCCGAGCACGCGCCCCGGGCCTGCCCCTCCACCCCCCCCCCGGAGCCACCCCGCCTCACTGGACAGAGGAGGACACTGGGGTTTGAGCCCACGTCCCCTGTGCTGACCGCACACTGCCCCGCACGTGCTTTGTGGGCTCACCTGAGGTTTCTCGTGTCAGGAGAATGAACCCAGTTCCCAGACATCCGCAGAGGGAGGGTTTGGGGCCCACAAGGACTGCCGTGCTGCCCTTAAACCACGCAGGAAACAAGTTCTGTCCAAACAAAGCTTTGCTTTACAGTTTCTCCCCAACCCTGAGCAGAGTCCCCATAGTGAATGTTCTGGCCTGGTCACGTGTGCGTGACCTGGTCTGCCTGCAGCAGTCAGCCACGGAAGATTCTCCTAGATCTGACAGGCAGACAGGACGAGCGGGCGGGGAGGTTACGTGTCGGGAGCAGCCCTGTCTTGGCCGGGTTCTCCTCCTCCTTTCTTCGGCCTCAGAACCAGCTGGGGTGGGGAGGCCTGGGTGTGCTGGTGCTGGAAGGAAGACGTCCCAGCAGCAGGGTCTGTGAGGGCTTCCTTCTTGACGACGACGTCTC